TTTTTTTTTTTTTTTTTTTAAACTGAAGAATTCCAGTCAGAGGGTCAGTACAAAAATAAAAACAGTAATACACGCACACACACACATGCATTTTTGGCCTCAAATGTGGTGTCATCTCCAGGGACAATGGTAATTCAGTCTCTCTCCACTTGGTGCATTTGACACGTTAGATGTAAGGTGTGCTAACTTAATATACCAAAGAATCAGATCTGCCGGCCCCTCTCTTATTTTGGTGTCTTCTGCTTTTTAGGAATAAAGTGAAATGTTGTTGGATTACAGCAGTTCTGGATGTTTTGTGGAAAAATTACTTGATAGAATGATCTAGAATGGTTGTAAGTCATATGTTTCTTTGGTAATTTTACAATACTCTGCCAATCTAACTTGCAAAAATCAAGAAATGGATAGGACTGCTTTTTCGAACAAAATAGCACCAGAATAAGAACAAAGAGCACCTGTGCTGCCTCACTAAAGATAGATAGTGCTTATGTGTATATATATAGTGTGTGTGTGTGTGTGTGTGTATATGTATATAATGTCCCTTGCTAAACAAAGATGCGTTTCAGCAAAGTTTGCTGTGAGCACAATTATGGTGAGCTATATTTTTGCATTGATTTTCATTTTAAGATCAGAAATGTGTCTTTCTGAACAAAATTTAACTGAATGCAGTAAAGCCATATTTAAGAATGTGGAAAACCTTTTACAACTCTATCCAAAAACCAAAAAGTTGATTTTCTTTCAGCAAATGTTAGCATATATTAAAATATTGAAAATAACTTATAATTTATGTGAAATTCAGCAGAGTTAAACAAACAGAATATAACCCAGACCTTGTAGAAGTGTGGCCTGTCCTTTAGTTAGTGGTTTTTCAGTTACTCTTCCCACTACAAAGCTTCTAAAGAGCTACCAATTGGACTGAGTTTTCATTAGTCTGAAACTCACATTTTAAAAAAAATCCTCACCCGGGATGTGTTTACTTATTTGAGAGAGAGAGAGAGGAACGAAGAGAGGGAGAAAAACATTGATGTGAGAGAGAAACCTGGATGGGCTGCCTCCCTACACGCCTGACCAGGAATCAGCTTGCAACTTAGGTGTGTGCCCTGACCTGGAATTGAACCTGCAACCTTTTTGGTATACTTGAGGATGCTTTAACTAACAGCCACCCGACCAGGGCTAAATCAATTTTTAAAGACGCTCTCCCCTCCTTCCCCCAATAGATTCAACCAGTTGACTTCTCTCCGGATACCTTTACCCAGGATCTATTTTTTTTTTTTTTTTTAAA